AGAACCTCCCACATATCCAACACGTGTGGTCGGTGGCTTCAGTTAAGGTAGTTGCTGCCATCGTTTTGGAGACTTAGCATCTCTTCCTAGACTCCACAATTCCTGTTGTCTCAGAAACTTCTGTGCCCTTGTACGTAGCTGCACTCTTCTCATTCCTGCGCTAGGGTTTCCCACGTGTCTGTGTTGATGGAAAATTTCTTCAAAGATGCTTTCAGACTGTCCTTGTAGTCTTACGCTGACCTCCAGCAGACCTTTTGCCTTACGCCAGTTCCCCAATACAACAGTTGTTTAGGGAGTCTTGTATCTGGCATGCAGTGAACGTGACCTGCCCAGCGAACCTGGAATCGTTGCAAGATTGTACACATTGATGGGAGGTTTGCACATGTTAGAACTTCGGTGTCTGGAACTCTATCATGCCTTCTGATATTCATCAAATGACAAAGTCATGCCCAGTGGAAAAGGTTCAGTTGTTTCATGCGTCTTGAATATCCAGTGGTTACCGTCTTAAAGTGTCGTTACAATACGTCCATGTGTTCATGAGATAGTCTTAACTTTTAGCAACGTTTTAAAACACAGATCTTGTGCAATCAGTTAGTGCTTGGACTATGTGTTGAGGAGGACTCTCAGCTGCAACCGTACCAAACTTTAGTTCAATATATGTAAAATTAACTGAGTTCCAGCCATTTCTGTTTTTGCTTACTTTGCTTAATTGTGGCGGCTATCCTGAAACGAGTTGACCCCAAAAGGTAATCAGCCTGAAAGTTTCAAAAACATCCATCCACTGGTTCTAGAGATATTTTTCTAACAGACAAAGAAACAAATGCATGCACACACAGACCCTTTCACACTTCCACCTTCAGCAGCAGGCAATATTATGCTGAAAAACCATTCTGGAACGCTGACAGTCCCGTCTGTGTCTAGTGCTCGTCTCGTAATAATACCCCGTGTTATCCAGATCGTTCTGTTTAGCCTCACATCTCTCGTGACCACAGAGCAGAACATGCAATCACTGCCATGTTCTGTACATCACATTCCTCTTTCAAAGAGCTAATCTTCTTCATCTTTTTCTCGTTAAGTTGATCCAAGGATAACATGCTGAACTTGTTTAAATCTTTTCGGAGTGACGATGGAAAACGCTTCGGTATTGCCCTTTGTTAAAGCCACATCCTGCACTCAGTGTAAACCGAAACAACACAAGGTTAGGCTAATTTTAAAACCATAGCTCCTCTAGTTTAAGCCGGGTCAGGTGAAGCTGTTTAGTACATAAACAGTGATGTATGGAGTTTATTTTACCCCTAAACAGATGACAGCATGAGTCTACAGTAGAAGTCAGGGACTACAGGTCTGACGAGTATTTTGAGAGGAAGCACAGTCCTGAACTTATATTGGTGCTAATAAAAACATGCTTTTCTGTCATGGCTGCAGCGTGGAGCCAGGAGACTTTCTCTGGAGGTCATGAGACTCCTGTTCATTGTTGCCTAACTGAACCCCCACATCTCTGTGGTCTCATGGGACGCACTGACTGGGGCCTTCCCAGCTGAATTCCTTTCCATTGACATAATCGTGGAGAAACTGGAGCCCTTATTGTTGACTGCAACCCTTTGGCAACTCAAAGACGAAGAACCAAAAAAACAACCGAAGCCACTCAAGATTCTTCATCTGACCCCTCACCTCTCGGTTTGTTGGGAGCCTTGGGAGAAAATTCAGAGACTTTGGCCGGAGCATTGTGGTTGTCGAGGGTTGACCCCAAAACAAAAAGAGGGTCTCCTTTTATAGTGGTGGGACTCTTTAGGGATACATATATTCCCTCACATATCGATTATGATTGAGGTGGCTGAAATACGATGATAAAACAATCACTGATGCATCTAGAATCAGGATGCATTACCTAATGCTGACTCAGTATTCACACCGGTTTTATTATCTCCAGTTTTCAGTTTCAAACATGCCTTGTGCTATTTTTGCCTTTTATATAGTGCACCAAAATGTTCAGCTTATTTAGATGGGCACAATGACTTTTAGTTTTTGTAACTTTTGTACCATTTTTCATTTAATTTTATTTACAAATACTTTGTCCTTAGAAATAAATATAGATCTAGTAGATAACATTTTGTTACTTTTCACTTTTAACTAACATTTTGCTACTTTTAGCCATTAGATATATTGGGCTACTTTAGCTTTAAGTAAACCTTTTGATAGTTTTAACTAGCTACTTAAAACTTGATATTTTTTCCGCTTTTAGCTAGCATTTGTCTATGTTTAGTTTTCTTTTTGCTACTGTACCTTTTAGCTATCATTTTGCTAATTTTGTTATAGCTAGCCTCTTTATGCTTTTAGTTAGCCTTTAGCTACTTTTAGCTACCCTTCTGCTACTTTAGCTTTAAGTAAGCCTTTTGTTAGTTTTAAATAGCTACTTTAAGCTTTTATATATGTATATTTTGCTTTTAGCTAGCATTTTTCAATTTTTGCTATCTTTCTGATACTGTAACCTTTAGCTATCCTTTTGCTAATTTTGTTATAGCTAGCCTCTATACTTTCAGTTAGGCTTTTGCTAATTATAGCTACCCTTCTGCTACTTTAGCTTTTAGCTGTCCTTTTGCTAATTTTACTGTATAGCCCTCAATACTTTAAGCTAGCCATTTGCCATTTAGTGTTTTGTTCCCCTTTTGCAACTTTAGCTTTTAGCTAGTGTTTTGTTAATTGAAGCTAGATACTTCTGTATTGTATTGAACCTTTTGCTATATTTAGCTACCCTTCTGCAACTTAAGCTTAAAGCTAGTCTTTTGCTAATTTTACCATATAGCTTTATATACTTTAAGTGAGCAATGTGCTACTTTTAGCATTTTGTTCCCCTTTTAGCTTTAACTTTAGCTTTTAGCTAGCGTTGTGTTAATTGATGCCAACTACTTTTATATTTTCAAGTTCAAGTTTATTGTCATTCGCATCACATGTGGTACATCAGGTGGAATGAAATTATGAACGCAAAGTCCCAGTTGGACCCAAAAATAGCAAAAATATAAAGTATAAAAAGAATGAGTATTGTAATGATGTTAGCCTTTAGCAACTTTAAATACCCTTTTGCTACTTTTTGGAAATTTTAGGTTGCTACTTTTAGTTTTTAGTAACTGCTGCTTTTTCAGCATTTTGCATATCAGAAAATGCAGTTTCTCTAGTTACAAACATAATGTCTATGGTTCGTACTTTATTTTTCAAAGGTTTATTAATCAACATTAGAAAACAGTAAATATCCCTGACTTAACCAAGTCTAACGTTATTGGCAGTCCCTTGAATAATGTATAAATATAAAAGCCACTTTTGTCTGTACATAATTTCAGAGGAAACCTATCTTTAAATTTATTTCTTCAGGGGAGTCCAACACGCTTCACAATCATCCGAGTCAAACCAAAACAGAAATCTCTTCCTGGCTCAGACAACATGTCAACAGCCTCTCTTACCAAATCCTCTGCTCTGTAACCACAGCGTCCATGGAGCTGGACGGGCATTTAGTGACACAGAACTGGTCGGGATGATGTTTGTTTTGCTTGCTTCCTGCTTTCCTGAACTGAAATCATGATTGTATCATCGTGTATCATTGCCGACTGTGGTAAGAGGATTAGACGGCGGTTCTGCCAGAGATGCTTTCCTGTTAGAGTTCCAGACGAGGCATGTTAGCCCACCATCTGGGAGAGCAAATATGTTATGTCTGTGTTGCCAGGCGGGAAAGTAAAGTAGAAGGATGAGTAAATGGTTGCTTACAGTCAAGTCTTTGACATGCAACTCATTCAGAAGCTCTAGAAAGACTTCCAGTAACGTATTTATTAAAATCTAAAGTTTCATACATCTTCTTTCCAGTAATGTAATCTAAAAATTAAAAAAAAATCATTAATTTACCTTTGAAGAACCGTTTAAGTGGATTAACAAAGACATTCAGCATTAACATATATTATATTGTTTCTGCACACTGTTAGGCTATTCTTCAAAGGGGTTTCTTTTAGTCCGTTGCAAAGCGGAACCGGCATTTTCTAGTACACAAATCTGTCAGCCTGAAGCAGACGCAAAACAAAGATGTCGAAAATCTGAGTGTGAAAGAGCGGCGGATGCAATTTCACAGCTCAGTCTGTCTCTCGCAGACAAAACAAGCAGATGTGCTTCTCAGAACAAGCGTTTTACACAAACCTTCAAAACCTCTCGTCACAAAAGCCTGCCTGAAATACTCGCCTCTCTCTTTTCTGTATGGGAGCAACAGACTCCCTCTCCCGTGGGAGTGCACCCCTTAAAAAAGGCAAACAAAACTCACATACTAATTGTTGAAAAGGACATTATTCTAGGTTAGAAAAAAGCAATTTACAAATGTGAGCCGTCAAACAGCAGCAAGTCTTGAGCCATTAATCAAAAGGTTCATCTTTTTATCATTAGTGAGAAATGCTGACTGTTGGGGTCTCCACCGCTCTGCTTGTGCTCACAGACACCTTTCTTCCAGAAAAATGATAAGAACAGCAACAACAAGCAGTACAGTATGTACTGTAAGCACTTTTTGAAGCTTATGATCTTTAAAATGAGAGAGAATGTCCAGCTTACTTTCCCCAGTGTTTAAAAATAGTACAGCATATGACACATTATACGCCGATGACAAACTATTATACAGCAATCTATAACAATGACAAGCAAAGAGCTCGTATAACTTTTGACCTTAGTTTGTGACCTTGACCTTGGAGCTGGTGTGATTAAAATTATATATGACACTCTGTCTAGTAATGATGCATATGTGCATGAAGTTTTGTTAAATTATCTTTAGCGAATCAGAAGTTATGAGCGGGACAAGAGAACAAAGATTATAATAATAGGACGCTTGGCTTTCAACAGGCAGATATAAAGAGGTAAAATAAACTCATCCTCTATGACACGGGTTTGTGAGCAGCGTACGTTTCCATTTCACCAAAAACACAATTCCAAGACCGTTTCGTGTTGCAGTCGAAGCCTAAGAGCTTGTGGGACTTTACCGTCGAGGAGTGCCGTCTTCGTAAGGCTGGATGATGACCACTTTGACGGTGGCAGATGTCCGCAGCAGGTCGATCATCTGCTCGTGGGTGAGAGTGGCCACAGCCACCTTGCAGATCTCCACCAGCCGGCTGCCCTGTCTCAGCCCCGCCTTCCAGGCAAAGCCGAAGGGCTCCACGTCGGCCACGATGCCCTCAAAGTTGACGTGGAAGCCAAGCTGTCCGAGGCTGTTCCGGCGCAGCGTCATCTCTGTCGTCTCACAACCTCTGGTGGCGATCTGGAATCGGAACCAAGATAGAAGCTTTAACATCTGCACAAAATTGTTTGCATTGTAGACATTTTTGTGTTTGATACAGTTGATGAGCTTTGGCGGCCATCTCAGGTTGGATTGACTTTTACAAGGTATTCAGTTGTAGATGGTAGGCCTGTCGCGATAAACAATAAATCAATTAATCGCACGATAAATGAAAATTATCAACCTCATTTTCATTTATCGGCTTTATCATTTCTTCGTGTCTCTCTCTTTCTACTGAAGACACTGGATGACAAAAGGCTCAACTCCGGTGCTCTTCACCGACCCCTCCGATTCTCTTTTCTCTTTAAAATCCATTTTAACCGTTCAGAAACATGTTTTTGGATCATTATAAGCAGCTAAGCTGAGAAGCTAAGCTACGAGCTAAGCTAAAAGGCCGACCTTGGGGAAAAAAATCTCCAGCTCCAAAATTCACGGTTGAAACCTGTGCCATCATGTAAAAAGTTGTTTTTTCTCTGCAAAAAGAAGCTGAGAACTTGTTTACTGATTTTTTTTTTAATTAAACGTTTTGTGTGACAAATGCTATGCTAAAGAACTCAAAACACACCGAGTCTGCCATTTTGAGAACCGAAATACAGGAACAAGAGACAGCCCATGTCATGTCAAGGGGCCTCCCTCCATTTTTCTTAAAGAGACATGCTGCTCGCTCCCTCACTATCCATCCTTCAGTTCAAACAGTCTTATACTGCCATCTAGTGATTAAAAAATGCACTACACTCAAAATAAATTAAACATTTCTTCTTAAATTTGACAATAATTACTAATTATTGTTAAATTTCAAACAATATTATTGTTTATCACAATAATTTCTGAAAATTAATCGCCCAGCAAAATTTATTATCGTGACAGGCCTAGTAAATATACAGTATATCCAGCACATTTCCTTAAAATTCATCTGTTCATGAGACGATTTGCTAACAGACAGACAGGGTCGGCTCCAACTAATTATGAAACATCTTTAATGTGTAGAACTTAAAGTACATGTTAAGGATGAATCTCAGCTACTGCAACAGCAAACTTTAGCTCAATATCATATCATACAAGTTGGAGACATTTTGTTTTGGCTAATGCTAATTAGCTGTGGTAAACTCTAAAAGTTGATCAAATATGTTCGACAGCAGGTGATGATAAAGATCGTTATAGCCTTTCTTGAAAAACATGCATGGATTATTGTATATAAGCACAAAAACCCAACAAAGAAACAAATAAAATAGAAATAACCATGTTTGTTTGGCTCTACTCAAAGAATCTTTTCAAATTAAAATTAG